CGGCTGTCCTCCACCCACCGCGGAGCCCCCGCCGCTCCCCCAGGTGCAGGTGTCACCGCCCGAGAGCACATGCCAGCGTCCGCTACCCGTCCCTACCTCAGCCCGCTCCGAGATCCGGATAGAGCGCGCTTCCCGGTGACGGTTACACCGGACTCTCCTTAACCGTAGCGTTTAGCCTCCTGCCACAGCACCCAGAGGTCTCACGTGACCCTCCGCCCCAAAGCGGCAGCTCTAAGCCTCCGCCCGCCTCTGCCAGGCCCGCCGGCCCAGATCCCAACGAAGTCGAAGACAGGGCGGGGCTTGGGACGCCTCCCGGAAGTGACGTCATATCAGGCTCCGCCCCGGAGGCGCCGCCTGAAGTGGACAACAGTGATTCTCTGGTAGCGGGATTAAATCTATTTCTGTGGCAGACATGGATATTCTCACCACTAGCTTTCTAACCTAGGTGAACTTTGGAGAAATGGAGGCTCCATTACCTAATGTGCTCTAGAGGCGATTAGAAGACTACAATTCCCAGGAAGCGCTACGACCAATGGGTTCGGACTCCCGCTTTGCATCATGGGACTTGTAGTCATTACCACTTTGGGCTGGGTAAGAGGATAGAGATTGTTTTCCAGAATTAGCGCTTTAGGGATGACAATTGATTTGAAGAGTATATAGAACACTACACTGCTGTTAATCCGTCCTACATAATTCAGAAGCCCTCGTTGCCAGAGAACCTCTGAATGTTTTTCCTTTTTTCCTTTCTCCCTCTCGTCATTCTTCCTTCCCTCTTTTTCTCCCTCCTTCCTTCTGCCCGTTATTTTCTTTCTGTTCTACCTCAGGAGCAATTTTATCCCAAATAATAGATTATTAGACTAAACCTCTAAAGACCTTGTTAGACTAAACTTCTAAAGACCTACAAGTTTATCGGAAAAGCCATTCTTTGATGGTCAGATACCAAGATTCAGATCAGTTTATAGGCCTGCTCATCATTAGAAGTGTGCAATTTCGTTTAAGATCATTCTACGATTTCTAAGCTTTGCAGCAGTCTCATTACTATAAACGGTTGATAGTGGTAATTTCAAATCAAACATGGGAAGATAATGTAATTTGGGGTACGGTGATGGTTTTGGCTTGAGTGATTTTGTCCTGTAAGTGTGAATGAAACAGAGAACAGAATTCTATATAAACAGTGGGTTAAAATATAGGTAACTTTCAGGATCGACTTGGCAATTTTGGTCTTGAGTTGACAATAATATCCTTGAATACTATTAGTGAATAGGGGTTAAATAGAAAAGCAAAGCAAAACTAACTAAATAAATAAAACAAAAGCCTTGGAATATTTCCTGCAGTCATGGACAGGGCTACACAATGTAGCAAAAGAGACCTGTGATAATGAAAACCCTATTGTTCAATATTTAGGAAGTCAAGAAAGATTAAAATTTCAAGAAATAATAGTGTATAAATCCCACAGTTAAGAGGATAAAGACCTAGAAGAGGTTATTAAAATTGTCTAAGAACTTCTTTCATAGATTATTGAATGGAACATAACAAAATATACATACTCCATGTTTTATTTATATTCTAGAATAGCTTGTGTTCATCAGTATCTAGATTTTACTTTCAAGGAATGACTAAGTATGTTAGTGATCAAGGAAAAATATCTTGTGGTTGATTAAGTAAAAGTTGTCCTATTATTGGGACCAGAAGATGGCATAATGGTTATGTTGCTGAACTCCCATGTAGTTGACTGTGGTTCAAGTCCTGGACCTGGCAACATAAAACTCACACTGGGCACGTGTGTGTGCATGCCCAAGATCCTGAGAAGAGAATGGAGGAAAAGGGACAGTATGGCGTGGCCATCCCCCCTGTGGGGTGATTTCTCAGTTTCCGTTTCTTTCTTTCTGGTGAGCGCTCATGCCCTATAGGAAAAAATCTGTCTGAAAAAAAAAAAGTTATTTCATTATTACAGATCATATCTTATGCTTAGTCCTTATTACTGGAATATTTTATTTCTGGTCTTGAATGCCTCTATAGTGCCCACAATCAGAATGAGTTGTATATAACCTGTGGAATCACAAATATTTTTCTGCCTTTTTTATTATTATGATTGTGTGTGAAATAGATACCCCTAAAATGGAATTTCAAGTCCACCCAAAGTACTTTATGCAATGTACATAGGAGGATAATTTGGAGGAAGTAAAACTCACAGCAGAAAAAAGTGTGTGCAATAGACCTTAACATTTCTCCTTTTCTGAGCCCCTGATGCTGATGTTTAAAATGTATCCTCCTTGGGACAGATGTCTTTAGTCCTGGTTGATTGTTCTCAAGGAGGACCATGACTATAGCGTACAACAGATGCCTTCTTCTTAGGAATTAAAATTTGATAGGGTCGGGGTGGGCACAAGTACAAAATCACAGGAGCTAAAGCCAGACTAAAGTTAATTCTGGTGAGAAGGGCCATGAAGTTTCACGGCTAAAGTGTTTGGAGTTGATCTGGTTCTTCCCCCTTCTCCAGTTTCCCTTAGAATCTATGAAATAACCTATTGTTCTTTCAAAAGATTAGGTTTTTGCTTAAATCTAGCCAGAGATGGTCTTTTTACTTAAAACCAAAAGTGCAACAATGCAGTGAGTTGGAATGAGGCAAACTGAAATTGAGTAACAGATGCTGATAAAATGCTTTCTAGTTTTTCGCAAAAAGAGTCCTGACTCTTGAAAAGTCTGTCAGTGACTAAAAATCCAAAATATTAAAACAAAGCATGATGGGGGCTGTCAGGTGGCATGGTGGTTAACACTACAAGTGTTCTATTCTTAGAGAAATGGTAGATGAGCAAACTTGTGACAAGGCAACATGATAGCTGCCCTTATCTCAATAAACCTGTGAGCTATGCAATTTCCTGAATTCACAGAAAGATTGACAAGATATTTGTTGTGCACAGAGATGATACTTTCAATACCACAACATCGATTAGTGATTTTCCATTCAACACATTGCGTACTGAAACTTTCAAAAATGTGTGTGGAAATCCAACTGAAATCTTAATGAAGAAGTCAAATTCTTCCTCAAAATCAGTCATAATTTTAGAACTGAAAGGAAACCTAATGATCCCAGGGATAATCCTCCATTTTATAGTGAGGGATAGAGTAAAACATAAATGATCTGCCTGAATTAACCGAACCCATTTCTCCTTGACTCCCAGACTAGTAAACTTCTCACCACACAGTAAGACATGTTTTCCTAAGTATTTCTACCATCTATTGTGTGTCTCTTTCAGCCCTCAGGCATGGCTAGCTTCTGACATGTTCTTAATTAACATTTGCTACCTGTGAAGCCTTTAAGGAGTTTATACAGGAGGAAGGTCTGCACTGGGGCTTTAAGGATTAGTAGAATTAGACAAATAAAGGAACAAGTCAGAGTATACCAGGCAATGTAGAAGTCTTCAGAGAAGACACAGCAGAGTGTAGTGAGACAGTACGGAGATCGATCTGATTGTACCGAAGAGAGTATGTTAGAATATAGGTGGAAATGGGCATGGAGGTTAAGACAATTGTATCCCACATGATCAACTGTGCAGTTGACATCTGGATCTGGCACCTTGAAAATCACGCTTGGAGCATGTGCATGTGTGCCCAAAATCTCAAGAGGAGACTGGAAGAGAAGGGATTGCAGCATGGTCATTCCCCCTGGGAGGAAACTTCTCATTTTATCTCCCTCTCTCTCTTACTCTCTGGCAAGCACACTATAGCAAAACAAACAAACAAAAAAACCAAAGAACAAAAAAAAAAAAAAAAAAAGAAAAAGAAAAAAGGAGAAGAAAAGAAAAGGATATAGGTGGAAATGGAGATGAACTCCTGCTTATCCTTCAAATTTGCCTCAAATATAATCTCAGCATTAATACCTTCCTGTTTCCCACAGATGGAATTAAGTAAACTCTTCTATAATCCCACTGGATCTGGTAAATGAACGGAGGCAACCTTACTACACATTAGTACTTATCTATGTGTGCAGCCCAAGAGCCAGGATCATGTTGTAGACATCTGTGTGCCAACAGCACCTTGTTTGTTACCAGAATGAATTATAGTCTCCACAATTACTATTTCTTACACCTGACCCACTTTACTAATTCATATTTCCTGTAGTAGACATTTGCATTTCAACTCCTAGTTTAGAGAATGAAATTCAAATTCTTTGAGCAGGCCTATACGCCCCTTCGTGAACTGATTTTATTTGCTTCAGAATAATTATTTGGTTAATCAGTTAACCAGCTATTTATTGAGGATCTACCATGTACAATGAAACTCAAGGTCCAGCCTTACCAATTACTCCCCACTCTGAGCTTTTTATTTCTTCTCTTTATAGCATCGTTGTTGCTTTTGCCTGTCATTTTCCCGTTTTCCTCATCCCATTCTCAAAGCTCAGCTCTAGGTCATCTCCAAAAGCTTGCTCTAATTCCTCTCCACCATCCCCTCACAGGGACTGCTATGACCTCACTCCTATTGGATAGCTCTGCATGCCTGTCTCTTTGACTAGAATATGAGCTCTAGGGGATGAGACAATGTCTCTTTCTCCTAAATTGTCTAGCAGAACCTCTAGCACACAGTAGGGCTAAACTGAATGAATAAACGAATGAAAAGGGGTGAGTAAAGTTTTCTTATTGGATTAGCTTGGTGTTTTTTATTTATTTATTTTTTAAATTTTGCAAGAAGGTGCATGCACTTGCTAGAGATAGAGAGGGACAGAGAGGGAACATGAGAAAGCACTCCCCATGGGGGATAGTCATGCTACAATTATTTCACCATGTCTCCTTTCAGGATTTTTGGTACACATCTACACATGCCCAGCAAGTCTATCAAGGTGCCAGTCTGGGACCCAACCACAAAGTTGACCATGTGGGATCCAGTCACTTTAACCACCATTCCACGGGTTGACCTAGCTGATTGTTTAACATAATAAAAGACACATATACATTCTTTCTGAAATTTTGTTTTAAGGGTATATTAAAGGAAGCTCACTCTATAAAGCAAATAAAAATGAAGCAGCTCTGGTTAAAGAGAAGGAATTCCTTTAATTATTCAAAGTAATTTGAAAACCATTAGACTAGAGAGTTGATTTCTAAGTTCCACTTTTTTTGTGTGTGTGAATAGAGGATTTTGCCTTGGACGTGTGCAAAAAGGAGAGAGAGTGAGAAGAGAAAATGAGTAATCACCTCCTAGGGGGGAATGACCATGCCACAATCCCTTCTCCTCTAT